TGGCAGATATCTCCTGAAGACATTAGATGGGAAGGTGAAGATCCTGGAATATCTCGTAGAGGTGGTCGTCCAGGACCAGGCCAAGGGGTTAAGAAGTCCATGGCTCGTGGTGGCGGGGTTGCTGGAGCAGGAAGAGGTCGGGGAAGTTTAAAGGGTGCCAAAAAAGATTTTCCTTCTAAGCAAAATGGCATTGGAAAGAAGGCTCTGGGTGATATTGAGATACTTCATACAGATACTCTGATTAAGGAGGTATAATTGCTATTGGAAGCTCATCTATAGACTGCAATTGTCTCATGTGGTGTGCATTCTTTTCCTTTATAAATGTGTCAAGTTTCAACAGGTGGAAAAAGTTTTTGGTGCAAGCCATCCTGATCCCGTAGAGATTGAGAAAGCAAAGAAAGTGCTGAAAGTAAGTATCGTCTTTTTTTGGTACTGCATAAACTGTTGCAGTGATCATGATGGATATGTTATCATTGTAGGAGCACGAACAAGCGCTGGTTGATGCAATTGCTAGGCTTGAAGATGCATCTGACAATGAAAGTGGTAATGACTAATTACATATATTTATGATATGCTAACAGTAAAAGTAAGGATGCATCATCATCTGTTGTATGATATGGTTGTAGCTTTTCGATGCTCAATTTACTTTTTCCCAAGGTGTACAAATTTTCTATTAATTATTGTTTTCCTCACTTCCATTCCCATAATAATGAATGCAAATGATATAAATTTCAAACGGAGGATATAATATTTAGTTCATAGCTGTCGTCTTTTTGGTGGATCTTAAGCCTGACTTGTTATTCAGTATATCAATTTACTTCTGTTCCTGCAACTTCAACAGCAGCAAGAAAAAAAGATTGACATGTTGAAAGCCATGTGGTTCAAAACAGTGAAGTTTTATAACTCAGCATCTGTTAACTTCATTTATTTGTTTGGCTTAAAAGCAGATGGAGAGCACCGATTCTCACAAGGGCAGTCAATGGATCAAGAAAGAGTGGAGAAAGCGGCAGTACGATGAGATGGGTGAAGGTAGGATGATCGAATGTTCTGATGGCAATAAATGGCCAACCAACTAGTGATAATCAGCAAAGCAAGCTTGAGGGGGTTACCGACATGCAATTTTAGCCACAACTTCTGTATATCCCGTAGCAGCAGCAGCAGCATTGTCAACTTCGAGTGCTTGTATCTTGTTTAATCCTGTTGACCTTCGACCAGCTAAGGTAAATGTCTTATCTTTTAAGTTATCTGGCTCATTGGATTTAGTTTTATTGTAACCTTAATTTAAACTCTAAGGTAGGGAAATGCTTGTATCATGAATCTTTTAGATGCTAGTTCACATATGCCTGACCCTTTAGAAGTTTTTAAGTACACATTTTGTTTGTTTTTTTATCCTCTCCTTACACTGGTTTACTGCCAAGTTTCAGATATAAGTAAAAATCAGAAGTTATTTTGTGCTCGTAAATCTATGTCGAGTTTCCTTGACGAGAGTTTCGGTTTATCTTATAGTTGCTATTTTTAATTAAATAAGTGTTTGTTCAACATATAAATATGTTCAAATTCTAGTCATTTCAGGTTATTTGGATGGTGTATTTTTTCTTATTAAATCAAATTAGGTTTTGGTCACTCTTAAAAACATTGACATGGGACGTTAAGCACCATTCACAATTCGTTGTTGCAATTAGGATAATTGAAAATTGTTCCCTCAAGAAAGTTCATTCATGCTAGAAAAATCGTCAAAAAACACTTCACAAGTCTAAAAAGGGCAGTGCATTATGGCAAAATGGGGCCGACAACCTAACATCCTAGACCGGTACGGTACCGACAGTAAAAATCTTAGATTGAACATTAAGCACCAAGTTTGTTATCAGTCTCCTAATGCTTTTTGCCAGGAATGTTGAGATCTTTAAATATGGGACTGTCAACTCCAACACCCATTGCATTCAGACCGTTATCGACATATATTACGGCACCAGTGATAGCTGAAGCCAAAGGTGATGCCAAGAAGGAAGCAGTGTTCCCTACCACATCTGTCTCATCATCAATTTCTTTAATTCAGTAATCATGAAAACAAAATAAGTAACACTTGAGAATCATAATAGTTCCTCCAAATAACCTGCAGATAGTTCTTTTTGCAGAGGTGCATTCGCAATTGAGTATTCAATCATTGTATCGATAAATCTGATTGCTTTTGCAGCACGACTTCTTAGTGGCCCTGTAGACCAGAAAAAATAGCAACTTACAGGGTACTGCAAGAGTGTAATATTCGAAAAGAACATTCTCTGGGGATATCCTCAAATCCAAATAACTGTATTGAGATACAAGTACAACGTGTATCTAGGATAATCAAATGTCTTCGCAACATGTTACTGTGTCGACATATTTCAAGGGCTGAATTATCTCATGACAACATCCAGGACAATAAAGCATTGTAATTACAAGTCATGGATCAGGAAAATGCGATGAATTTCAGGTTATAATACTGAATATGTTGATAAAAGATGTGAGCATGAATCATTCATACCAGCAGATATTGTGTTGACCCTAATCTTGTTCTTTCGTCCAGCTTCGAAAGCAAGTACCTGAAAATGAATATAGAGAAGCATAAATATGCCAAAAGTAACAAAAATATGCAATCAATTAACATGCATAGAAGCTGAAGAACCCACTTTTGTATCACTTTCTAGAGCGGCTTTAGCAGAACTCATACCTCCACCATATCTGCATCATCACATTGTTTTAGACTTCTTGTCACCTAATGCCATTTTAGGCATACCCTGGAATTATACGCTCAGAGGCAATATATGTAAGAGAAAGTGAAGAGCCTCCTGTACCAGCAATAGCTTATTTTAGAAACACATCTCCAGGCACTAAGACGCCCATTTGACAACAGAGCAACGTAATATGTACAGTGAACCTAACGGTAGACTCGAATGCACAAAAGACCTGCCTGGATTCATTAATGGAAGAAAATGCTTGAGTAAAGAAACATAGGAATAACTCGAAGCAGATAAAGCTGCAAGATATCCATTCTGGGATGTCTCCAATAGAGTTTGCTGACCTGTAAATGAGTAATTGTTTGTTAAGAACAAAGAATAAAGCTGAAAGAGAGATTGGCATTTAGAAGCTAAAAACTCATGTACCTCTGGTCCATTAGCTAGTGAATGCACAAGAATGTCAATGCAGCCAAAGTCCTGTTTGATGGATTCAGCAACTTCCTGTAACACATAGGAAATAACATAACATACTGAAAAATCTCATTTGTTAAGTATACAAAAGTACATATAGAAAGGGACCAGATATCCTATACTTTCTTATACCACAATAGGTGGTTCGAATGTGAGCTCAAGTCTACTGAAAAATAGTTTTAGGCTCTAGAAATCCCTAGACGTGCACTTATGGAAGGTATTTTGGTACATACCTTAACAGTCCAATTCGAAGATCCTGCATATCGCTTATTTGATTTTATCTGCATGTAATAAGCAAGATAAAAAGATGTAAAAAGGATATTTGAACTTATCAACAGTTAGATTCACTAGAGTGTCATAAATTTATCCCTTACATCTTCGGGTACATCATCAGGGTTGTCAAAGACTGCATCTAGGGGATATACTTTGGTAATCTCCATTAATGAGCCATCGGGCAATCTGAAATATCAACTTCTGTCAGGAAAAAAAAGCCATTAATTCAAGTATCCACTATATTGCAACATATAACCAGCTCTTACACTCGTGACTCATCAAACTTTCCACGGCGCAAGCTGGTTTCAAATATGTTCAAAGCCTACAAGGGAAACTTCAGTGTCAGCATGCCACATTTTTGTCAATACCTGCAAAAGCCTAGATAAGGTCTACAAAGATATAGTTTTACTTACAGGCACCCATGTTCCAACTAGAACTTCAGCACCCGCAGCAGCAAGAGATTTCGCTATTGCCCATCCATATCCGTTGTCATCAGCTACACCAGCAATAAATGCCCTCTTACCCGCAGAAAGCATCACTACTAGTGTTAGAAGAATGCCTTAAAACTACTAAAGAATTAAAATAGCTTAGTTGAAGTCCTTGAGGCAGCAGCCTTCCAGCTTGGTAGACAGCATTAAAGCTAAAGAAAACCAACAGAAATGTTGTAGAGATATCCTTTTTTGGAAATTGTTTTTCTGCGAAAGGAGACACATACAGAGACAATCATAAGCAACGCAGGACAGAAGCATTAAAATAGCAAGTCAAACCTTTCAAGTCAATTGGCAACCCAGAGGCAGGCTTATTTTCACTGGATACAGACATACATAGCCCTCGTCACAACTTTGTTAAACTTTATTGAAGACGATACAAAACCTTGTCGGAAAGGCTCCAAAGATTGTGAAAAATTACGAGCACTCACTAGCTTAGTCCATGACACAACTTTGGAATTGGAAAATAGATTGGCAGCGCCTGCCTTAAATACCCTGCGAGAGGACGCAATGCAGGGTCTTGCTGAAGCCAGCTGAAGGCCGGAAGCTGCTGTCGCCGCCATTCTCAAAAACTGATATTTCAAAGCAGAAACTGAAAACCTGGACAGAGAAAAAATGAATCACATATAGGGCATGTGTAATAACACATTGTGCTTTAAGAATACATTTCATTTTGCTTTTTTACCATATAATATCTAAGAAACTAAACTAAAATGTACATCAATCCATCAATAATGACTTATTTAATTAACATAAAGTAAAGTAAATGTACTAAACAAGTCAAACTGGAGAATAAAATGTTGGTCGATAAATGTATGAAGAAATTCCTCAGAGACCTAAACTAAAGCTTCCATCTTTTTTACCTTACTAAAACCCCAAAAGTATTCACTATTCATCTCTAAGAAGCAGATATATTCTTACCCAGAATTCAAATATGCCATTTTTCACATTTCCCAGAAAACAATGAAAAGAAACTCACAAAACAAAAACCATGGAAGCTTCCAAATTTTGAGAATGTAGTACCCATTTGGGATATAAAGTGAAGGATACATACCTTTGAGAGGCAGAGAGAGCCAATGTGGAAGTGAAGAGAAAGAAAAAAAAAAGAGAATAAATCTTGAGGAAGATCGATGAGATCAAGGTGGTTTTATAAAGGGATATTGTTTTTGTTCAGTTTCAACGGAGAAGGTAAAGCCAAAGCTAAAAGCAAACCGATAAAACGATTGTATACAGCAATAAAAAGCAAAGATTCAGCGCAGTTGTTTGTTGGTAGGTGTAGATCTTTCACTGCTCGCTAGGTTTCTTTTACAGAGTCCGAGTGTGTGTATTCGAGTTGAATTAGTAATTAAGTATATTTTTTTGCACCAATTAATCGCAATACATATTTTGTTGAAGAGTAAATTACAAAAATGACTCAACAATTATACTTTGTTGAGTTGCTTTCTTGATTATAAAGTGATATTTTATCATTAAAAATTATAAAATAATCATCTAATTATTCATATGTTTTAAATTCGTCATTTTTTGTTAACAAATTTATTACAATATGAGATGGACATTCATGTATTGATTAATATATAATAAAATTTAATCTCAAAAGACTATCATATCTTAATCAACATATTAATGTTCAACTCAGATGGTCGTCAATTTCTTAACAAAAAACGATGAGTTTGAAACATATGAATAGTCGGGTGATAATTTTATAACTTTTAGTAGTCGAGGGATTCAACAAAACAACACCTATAATTGAAGATCATTTTATAATTTTTAATAATTGGATTACTCAACAAAGTACCACTCTATGTTGGGACCATTCATTTACTTTACTCTTTTGTTGAAATATGATAATTATCTGGGTAAACTACACAATTAGTCATTGAATTTTAGGTTGTATATTAATTTTACCACTAAATTTTCCAATGTTTCAATGTAAACATTAAACTTTAATTTGGAGTTCAATTATGATATTGGGTCGTTAAAAATAGGTCAAATCCAAAGTCCAACCTCAACTCTAAATTAAAATTATACCGTACGATAGTCTTAATATACGGCTAAGGAAAGACGCTAGCGGTTTTATTATTTTTTTAACAAAAGTGGTAAAAATTACCTAAAACATTATTTTTTTTCTACCGATTTTGTTATTATTGGGCTCTTTACCGGGCTTGGTAATATATCTGGTAAAACGCTACCTAAAACATTTTTTTCTACTTGATATAATTATCAAACCCGGTAAAGAGCCCAATAATAACAAAACCGATAAAAATAATAATGTTTTCGGTAATTGTTACCGGTTTTGTTAGAAAAATAATAACAAAATCGATAACGTCTTTCCTTAATCAACCGTATATTAGACTGTTGCACGTGAGATTTCTACACTAAAAAATGATCCTACAAAAAAATATCAAATCAAAATCCACTGTATTCAAATATTCTGACACTAGAAAGGAAATCTATTGTTTCCACTTCACTAATAAGAAAAAACAATTCTAATAAAAAAGTAAAAAGAAAATTGAGCTTCGAAATAAAAAAAATAGAGTATTTATAATTGTCGATTAATTTGTGCTCCAAACAAATATATATATATATATAGTGAAACCACAATGTTCTCCATTATTCTTGTTATCGTTATCTAATTTACACCAAAATTTATTTCCCAAATTCAATTCCAATTCTACATGCAAATCACCCTGGTTATGGTGAACTGATGATGATTCCTTTCTCTTAAAGTCTCTATTTCCCCCTTCACCATTGGTATAATTCACATCAATCAAGAATGAACTCGCACCATATTCTTGTTCATTGGGGTATTCGCATGCATAACACGCGATCACGTCTCTTTCGTTTAGTTTCTTATCCTTCATGAATCGACTCCATCCCCTTATAAACACGAAGCTTTGGCTACTCCGCCAATAGCAGTATCGGAACTTCCAAGTTTTCATCGACTTATCGTAAAATATAAGTTCGAGATTAAGCATTGTTGGTTGTTTTGAATGCACGGAAAGTGTTTGATTGAATATTGTTTTGGATCACGAGCCTGTTCAACTTTCCTACAACATTCCATTTAAAATAATTGAGTACAAGTGAATTGGAAATCGCAATGGAAGATGTCCGATTTCTCATCTTTTTGGGTATGGATTTACAAGAATCTAGTCCACTATGCTTAGAATACTCTAGAACATCTTAGTACACTCTAGAATGTTCTATAACATTTTGAAATGTTTTAGATCATAGAAAGTTCTAGAACTAAGAAGAATATTCTAGAATATTGGGAAACTCATGGAGGATTCTAAAAGCTTTTAGAGATTCCCCAAACCTATATTATTCTAGATTTTTATAGATAGTTTTAGATTAAAAAAAATATTGTAGGATCAAACTAACCTCCGTCTTCTATTGAGGAGGTGAAAGGCTATATAAAGGAGAATTAGCCATTTGCAAGTCATGTGTATTATCAAATAAGAAAACAACAGTAAAATGATTCAAATGTTACGATCAATAAATAAAATGATTTAATTATAATATTTTAAATATGATAACTTAATTGTAAATTTATTATTATAAATAAGATAATAATAATAATAATAATAAATTACAAATAAAAGTTTAATATCATCACACATTGTCCGTAAATAATGCATGAGTTTGTTTTAAAAAATACAAATATATAAATCTTAAATATTTACAAATATGTTATTTTTTTTATAACTTTACGATATATAGAAAAAATTAAATATTATAAAAATTATTTTGAAACCTACAAAATAATTATATATTAGAACCAAAATCGTAATAAATATGAAAAACAATCATGATCAAATCATCAAGAATAATAAATATTGGATTTGCGGAAACGTGCCTGAAATAATTGATAGATTGAAATCCTTGAATCTTTCTTTAATTATGATCTTCCAAGAAGATATATAGAGTTTCCTTAAGTATAAACTCTTTGACGGGATAAGAGTAAATACGAGTTTGTCTATCTCTCGGGGATCATAACCCTTTATATAATTAATTTAATAATCAGTTATTGTGTGTACTTATAATTCTATCCCTCGTCAAATTATAAATACAACTTTAATAGTATGTACACTTTTATTTCCATGACACTTCTGGTACCTTATGACTCTATAACATAAATAACCACTTAATTTATGTTATATTTTATGATAACAATATACATTATAAATATGTGCTCATAATTATGAATTTTAATCCAACAATCTCTCACTTGGGGAACATATGTTTTCTGATAAATGTATAACCTTATGAGCTCAAAACTTGTCATCATGCAATAAATATTTTGTAACAATCTCATTCATCAAATATATCCCTATAGGATCAAAGCGACCTTTGCCTTATCAATCATGACTAGACTCATCAATGGTTATGTATACAAACACAGTCAAATGACGTAGATCAATCATGGAGCGTTGCATGAAAATTACATGCAATGTGAATCGTACATGTCTATTTTCAATTGGTCCTATTTAAATATTAGTGAGATCAAATTTTACCAAAATCAGTGTGTGGGTAAACCAAAATAGACTTTATTTTTGCTGAAAATAAATTTAAAATAAATATCCTTAAACCGAAGTAACAAAAATTGTGTATAATAGCAGTAAAATTGCAAACTCCCACTAAAATCGAATGTCCTTAAACTGATATCACACCCACATGAGTAGTGCGTTAATGAAAGACCTTGGGTGACAGTTCCTTAGTAAGCGCGCAATTATGAGTTTTTACCAATATGCTCTTTAAATATATAACCACTCTGAATTTTTTTTGACAACCAGAAACATAATTTCTACGTTCTTAGACTTAAGACGTTTATGTTATATATGGAATAAAGGAGTGCAACTTAGTTGTCATAAACTAACTCAAGTGGTCTTTCTTATCAATCCATAATTAGCAGTTTATGTGACAAAATTTTGCATCCATATTCCAATAAATCAGAGTCCATAAACCTAATGATTTCTTACTTACAAGACCTCCGATATGTAAGCATGTAAAATTTTGTTCTTAAATGTATTGCATGAATCAATTTGGCTGATATCCAACGATCCATACCCAATTTGCTTAAATATCTGATTAATATCCTAAAATCATATGACATGTTTGAATGTGTATAAACTTGAGTATACATCAAATTCTTTATTTATTCTGAAGCATAAGGAACCTTTTTACAATTCCTTAGATCAAAATCATCGTTAGGACGTTGATCAATATTAAACTTGTTTCCTTTAGCAATAAGGGATATTATTTGGTTTACTCCAACTGAATTTATAGTATATACAATTGTCAATCAAATTTATCTAAAAACAAAAAGAGATAATCACTTGATGAAATTTGTTATACAATTAACGAAAGTCATACTTAAACTCATAAATGGGTTTCCCTAATTTGCATATCATTAGTTTTGTATCATCAGACACAATTTTCTAAATACACCTTATAAAACATCTCATCAATGTTACCATTTTGAAATCCAACTTATGTAACTCAAGATTAAATATAAACAATAAATATCATGATTATCCTGAAAGAGTCTTTCAATGAAATCAAAGAGAAAGTCTTTACGAAATTAATGTATTCTTTCTAGGTATATCCTTTAGATACAAGACGTGCCTTATACATGTCAACATCACCGTTTGCATCCACCTTGGTTTTAAATATCCATTTGTAACCAATTAGCTTTGCACCTTCAGGTGATGAGACAAGTTTTCAAACTTTATTATCTTATATAGAACTTATACTCTTCTTACATGGAATTAATCCACTTTTGAGAGTCAAAACTTTTATGACGTGATGAAAGTTGATTATTTCGTCCTTCATCATTCCACTGTCATCCTTATTTTTTTTTGGAGAAATACAATATAATACTCTAAGTAGTGTTTCTCTCATCTCGTGGATCTTCTTAATGACACTTGTTCTTTAAAGTTGTTAAGTTTGTTCTTCCGAAATGATTTCTCATCTTAAATGAAGAGTTATTACAAAACAACCTCATTAAGATTCTAGATTCACTTTTTGATTAATGACATGTATATCATCAAAAGTGATAATAGGAATTAAATTATAATCTAATTCATCCTCAAAATCAATTTCTCAAACCTTATTTCTCCCTCCAAACTCAACATCCTAAAAAAATAATGTTATAGATCCCATCTTAAAAATATTCTTAATTATGAAATCATAAAACTTATAACGCCTAGATCACTCAAAATAACCAAAGTAGTTGCTTAATGTTTTAGAATTCAATTTCTCCTGGTTTGTCCTAACTTATCTAAAAAGAAAACAACCCTTTGTA